CACACACACACACACACACACACACACACACACACACACACACGCACACAGACTCACAACACAACACAGCACAACACAACATAACACAACACAACACATTCTCACACCAGCATGCAAATATGTGTGCACTACTGCTTACACTCCTCATCTTTTGTCATCTTCAGGTGTGGCTAAGTGAAGAACTGCGCAAGTTGTGCACATACAGCTACGGCAACCGTATGAGCTCTTGCAGTGCCGGGATGCTGTCCATGGTGCTCACACTGCTGGCCAAACACTCACAGCTACAGTTCAAAACTGTTGGTGGGTTGTGGGCTGGAGAAATGGCTGATTTTTACTCTAAGGCTAGCTTTAAAACTGTGCTCATCCTCCTCCTCCTCCTCCTCCTCCCCCTCCCCCTGAAGTCTAATATCTATTATATACTGGGCCATCTTTCTCTGTAAGACTGCTCTTTTAGGGTTCTTTTTTTGAAATTTTTTTCTATTTTTAAAACTGTATTTTGCTTTTTGAAAGAGTGTCGTATAGTAATTCTTTGTTCCATCTAATTCCTTTGTGTTTTGTTCTCTTTTGTTTCATCTAATTTAGACTAGTGTAGCAATATTATTATTTTTTCTTTTTTGACTTAGGATCAAGTTAGACCTGCCTAGTTTTATGTAGGAGAAATTGGAATTTCCAGTATGTAGTTTCCTTCACCTTTTGCATTTGTCTTGGGCAGGGCATTTAATCTGTCTGTTGGAGAAGCTTGGGAGTCTTTCTGTCAAGTCGTCCGAACTGAAGCAGCTGATTTGCTTAATGAAACCAGAGGAGGATGGGCGTCAGGTTTGTTGATATGTGTGTGTGTGTGTGTGTGTGTGTGTGTGTGTGTGTGTGTGTGTGTGTGTGTGTGTGTGTGTGTTTTGGAACAATGCATTCTCATGTGGCAATGCAGTCTTCGGCATCCTGCATTGTGGAAATCGTGGCCGACACTGGAAGCATGTACTGTTTCAATAAAATATTATGAATCGGTTTGTGGCAAGCAGATGATGAGAGTAGATGTCTTTTTGTTTGGTGTTTCTGTAGACCAAATACATAACATTTGTGTGTCTTTTTTATCTTCAATTGATGTCTTTTAAGGTTTGGATTGATTTCTGTAATTGATGAGTACTCAGGGGGCTCTAGTGGCCTAAAGGTTTGGGTGTTGGCCTCTCATTCAAAGGTCATGAGTTCAAATCCGGGTAGCGACCGGAAAAAAAAATTTCTGCTCTAAAATTGTCTCCTTTCACCTCCTTTCCTGCTCTCTAGCAATGTTTTGTCGTCTGATTTCGTCTCCTCTTCCTGCCTCCACCCCTTCATCTCCTTTGCCCCCTCCTCTGGGCTCCTGACTCTTTCGGCAGCCTTTCTACTGCTCCTCCTTGTCTCCTTCTTACTGCTGACTTTCAGCCACACCCCTGATCTTCTGGTAGGAAAGATCTACACCAAGCCTTCTCAGACAAGAGCGAACAATTTCGGAGGTCCCGTGTGCAAGTTGCGCACCTTGGTGGTCTGAAATCGATAAGAGTAGGCTTCGGCCACTACCCGGGCAAAATTCAAAATTTCCTACAGACTGAAAAAGTTTATTGTGTCCTGCGCGCTCATATGACCTTATGCACTTGCGAGCGCCGTAAAGCAATTCCCAGAAAAAACAAACAGATGAGTGCTCTGTTGAAATTTACTCCTTCTACTTCATTTCAGTGTCACTATTATTCTGACCAGTTCATTTCTTTAGACTTGCTCAAAAACGGGGGGCTTCTTTGCTGCAGTCAGCTTAAATGTGCTACTGATAGAAGTCGCTGTAATAATTTTTATGGTGACTGCCTTCGAAACAACCTATTTTAGTGCCTGGTAAGACAGAGTAGTGAGCAAGGAAGGAAGAGTGAAGAAAAAGATAGAGAAGAGAGAAAAAAGAGATAAGAAAAAGGAAGAAGATGTTGGAAACAAAACAGATGATACACAGTGCAAGTGTGGAAAGAAGTTGTTGTCCTGGCTTGCGGCTTTGGGTTTTAGATTTAAATCAGTTTAGTTACACTTTTTACAGCACTTGCGAAACAATTAGGTTATATAAGTGCTGAAGATTAGAGGTGTTACTAGAGAGAAATAAACACAATAAAAGAGGAAAAGTTATTTCAGTAATGTTGTCTGAATGGTGTTTCCCCCCCCCCCCCCTGTATAATACTACAATATCCAATGCCCTTGTAAACAAAATTTTCTTTCAAATATTAATAATGAGGATTTTTCATATAATACTACCAATATCCAAAGCCCTTGTAAACAAAATTACCTGTCAAATATTAGTAATGAGATTTTTTCTTTTGATTTCAGTTCCCTTACACAACGCGTCTGATGCGAGCCATCTCCACAATGGCACGTCGAGATGGCAGCTGTGGGCCTTTGCACTTTTTTGACATCCAACATCTTTCTGATGTAAGTGGACTAATTATGATGCTCAACTGTTTGCTTTCAGAACTTGTAAACGATATGTTGTTTATTTTCTTGAAAAAATGTTCTTTTTTTTTTTTTACGTTTTATTTTTTTCCAGACTTGTCCCTGATTGATGGGGATGGGGTCCGTTTTTCTTAAATGAAGCCTTCAAAAAGTAATGTTCTAAAAGTTTTGCGCCAATAGTTTATTAACCTGACCTGTGAACAGAAAAAGAGCAACCTGTATTGTAAGCAATAATTTCCATCATGAAAACCCTACTTCTTCTTCTTTTCTTTCTCTTTATTGTTTCTGAGTGTATCTCGTTTTTTCTTTGCACTAAATGACTGTTTCTGTGTCAACGTGCTTCTCTTTACTCAACACGGCGTACAAACAGCGCTCTTTTAGTTGGATCGGCGATGGAGTGACCGGGTCACGGCGGGCCGGTCACCCAGAGGTCACTAACCCGCCCTCCCGCTGCCTGCATTGGTAGCCGCTGAAATGAATTTTTCAACACATGTTTTATCGTCTTACACAAACAAAAAATATCATACGTGAACACAAGTTTGTTCTTTAGAGAAAGCAACTAAACCTCTTTATTGGTACGAAATAGCAATGCCATGGCTGCTCACGTTTTTGAGTTAGATGCTCTTAAAATGTATGTCTATTTATAGTTAGTCAAAACAACAAACACATATTGAATGGCTAATAACTTATAAGCCTAACGATAAATATTTACAAAACTGCCACGTAAGACAGGAAAATGTGTTTAGAAATTGACTCACTCAAAATTTTGTTTCCAGCACGAATATGGAACTTGTCCTGAGCATGATAGCCAAAACGCTTCCCTGCATTCATGACTTTTTGTATCCAATGGAATGTGTATCCTCCTGAATAATGATATACTGACGTATCTTCAATATACAGCACCGATTTCTTTTCACAAAATGAACATGTACAGAATAAAAGTATAAATTTATACAATTTTTCTTTCTAAACATATCCAGCAGCACGAAATGAGGGAGCTATTTGCAGGAGATGCGACACAAAAATAAAACGCATTATGTCTATCTGGTTTGGAATCCTTCGTGCTCTGGCTTCCAGTTTTGAGATCGCTTGGTGGCTGCTTTCTGTGTCCTGTTCTCCTAAAAGCCCGAGAGCAAACATGTGTTGTTGTATGTGTGGAATACAGTGTTGCTATGATATGTGTGGCTTTGGGATAACTTTGCGGGGAAATAGCATCTGAATGCGGTCATGTAAATGTCGATTGCTACGAAGATTTCTGGAAGTGAAAATTGTTTGACTGGTTTGAGATGTGATATTGCAGTGTGAACATGGCTAAATCTTTCAATGAGAATATTGAATATTGCTTCCAGTCCACTTGCTTCCTCAATTTTTGCAGTTTCGCAGGAGTATTCTCTTGTTTCTGTACCAATTGTGTTTGTTAGTTCCTTTCGTACATGGAGATGGAGGGAGGTATGCTTGGAGTGTTTTGCGATGTTTGCTTGAAATTGATCTTTTATTTTCTTTGTATGCAGCCACCCAAGCGGTGCCGACAAAACGGAGAAGGAATTCACATTTATGCTATTGTCAAACGCACACCACATGTTCCTACTAGTGTCAACTGCTTTTTTGCGGCATGAATTGACGTGACGTAACACCATATCTCCTTTTGATAGTTGAAATCGCGGTAAAACACTTGACACAAATGTTAGCGGAATACGACTGTCCATTTTCGTCCCACACATCAATCCCATAAACCAAGAGAATATCTCCTGCCATTGTCTTACATAAATGGGGCTTTCTGTACCTTTTTGTTAGACAGTTAAATTTAAACGCCAACACACCCGACAAAGTTCATTCAGAGACTCTCTATGCCTCTCATATGTGTGACCCATTGCAGTTTAACAAATTTTACTTAGGAACACAATTCACTAACTGATTGCCAGTCACTGCAAAGTGTTGGAAAAACAAAATTCACATCATTAGAAAATATGATTTGGTGGCTATCACACCGCGCAAACAGAAATAAAGACCAACGTTTCATTCTCGAATGATTTGTAATTAATTTGAAGAGATCACATTATAAACGGCGCTTCCGATCACTTAACACTCACAATTTAAAACTGTTATTATTCCCAAACGAATCAATGAAAACTATTGAAACTTTCACAAGATATCAAGAAGACGTAGACGAAGCGAAATTGGTGAAGAAATAGATTCTAGGGGTAGAATGAGCATCATTTTACGGCTTATGAAATTAGGGGAAGAAACGTTTTCTGATATGGACAAGATAGGACAGCGCTGTGCACGAGTTGACCTCGGTCAATCCCCCACTTGACGTGTGAAATTGCAGATCACCTGCCGCTGATTTATGGCCTACTGCGGGGGGCCCGGACTAACTAAAAGATCGCTGAGACGGAATTTCGGACGCCGTGTCAAGAGAACAAAAAACACACAAAAAACCCTAAACCCCTACAAAGATCAACAGATCCAAGTGCAACCAGTGTGTTTGTAGATAGCACTGACGTAGTATATTGTCTTACTGTTTGGTGTGTCTCTGTAGTGCATCAGCCTACCAGGCGTGCGTCGATGGCCCGGGCCGGCCTTCTCTTTCTTTTCCTGGGTCTGCCTAGATATGAGCATCTGTCTGGACAGTTATGAAGATGTTGCGGTTAACGGTGTCTTCAGGAGGATGCTTTACAGGTAAGGAGTGTAGAGAGAAACAGTGGGTGGTTGGCGGGTGCTCTTGTGTGGTTTGCTCTTTCTTTTCTGTTAAGCATTTTTCGTCCTTATCTCACCTCGTTTATTTGAATGGTTCTCTCTTGTAACACCTCTTATCTTCATCATTAATATGACGTATTTGTGATGCAAGTGCTGTAAAACTTGCTCAAATACTAGAAAGAGAAAAAGAATAGTATGTTTAGTCCTTTTTTCTACTTTGTTGGTCAGACACCTGCAAAACAAAAGCAGTTAAATTTTAGGTCTGTTGTGAGAGACTGAGGAGGATCAAATGCCTTTTTTCAAAATAAAAACCAAACAAACCCTCTTTACGTTAAAAGTGGAAATAGGTACATAAAGTTGTGTGTCTTAATTTGATCCTTTATTAGTGAGTAGCTGAGAAAATAACCACAGTCCATTATTTCTATTTTGTTCATATCAAAAGTTATACTTAAAGAAGAGGACAGTAAATATAAGCCAAAAGCTGTTACTTTTATTCATGATTTTTATATCAAAACTTTTCCCCCTCAGCTTCAGCAGTAGTGGTGGGAACGGCTTCGAGGCTTTCTTTACTCCCGCCTTCAATCTGACAGTGGCCACATTCAGCAAGAAAGACTTCAGCACTGTCACTGTCACTGACTTAGCCTTGGCAGATGGACTCTGGGTAAGTGGGGGCTGACGACTCGTGACCTCAGAATGACAAAATTCTAACATTTTTTTTATCATTTTGAGTTTCTAAGACCGTGAGGTCAGAAATCAAATGCTTTATCAAAATTGTAAGATTATTCTGAGTTGTTATCAAGATATTTTAAGAACTTCGATCGAAAAAGCTTGAAATATTGTGAAACTCAAAATTTTTGTTGGTGAAATTTCTTTAAACTAGGTGCCGAGCAGATTTTGTATTTCTGAGGTAGCAAGTTGTTATGAAAGAAGTTAGACCCTTGAACAGCTCTGCTGAGAGAGGACACAGTAGTTTATTTTAATTGACAGCAATTGTTTTTTACCCCCTTTGGACACAATTTAGGACCCAGGCTGCTTTAACTCTGACAGTATTCAAATAGAAAGATGGAAATAACTGATGATAATATTGCCGACCATGTGGGAATGAATTTTGAATATTTTATTGAAACAGTACATGCTTCCAGTGTCGGCCACGTATTCCAAAATTGCAGGATGCTGAACACTGCATTGCCACATGAGAATGGAATTTAAATCATTTTAGGATGTAAGCTTTTGACCCTGACTCTCGAGGTCAACCTGGGCTGAGAGGAATACAATATCCCAGCTGAAAGGCTTAGTCAATAAAAATTTTCTTGCCACTCAGGACTCGAACTTAGGTCTCCTGTGTCTGACAGGGAGGCACCTAACTGCTACGCCACAGGCACTGGTGCTCGTTCCCTATCATTGTGCCATGACACTGTGAACCAAGTAAGTGGCAGATTCCCTATAATTGTCTCATCTCTTTCAGCACTCGGTGTGTGTGGTCCACGTCCCTGGCCGCCGGTTTGTCAACAGTCCCGGCCACGTCAGCGTCTATATTGACGGCAAACAAAAGATGAACACTGCTCTCAAGTTCCCAACTGTTACAGAGGTGGGTGTTGCATCAGCTGACCTTTGTCACAGTCAGATACCTAATCGCCACTGATTTGATTGGTTGAATAAAAAAATGATTCTTTTTTTTTATTGAATTCAGTGGGCCAGAAAGCAGTGCTGAATGAATGCTGTGTAAGATAATTTACTGGAAAGGCAACAAGAACAAAATTATAGTGTGCACAATACATTGTTCTCTGAATTCAATAAAATGAACAACCAATGCACGTTGGCTCAATATACCTAATTTTGTTTATTTTTTACCTGGAAGGGACTTTTTGTGCACTCTATAATTTTCTTTTGTCTCTCTGGTGCTATTGATGTTGGGTGTTTAGCCAGGCCATTCCTTTGAGGAAGTGAATAAAAAGAAAAGAGGAGAAATTCCCTCTGGGTTGTTCTTTTTCATTTCTTGCCTTTATTTCAAATCTTTCAAGGTCTCACTGTCATATTTATTTTGGAGAACTTGCTAGCAGTCAGATGAAATGGCTGCAAAATGTTGTGAATGTTTCTGTTGTGTGGAGGATGGGCTTGTTCTACTTGTCCGCATGTCGATGAATTATGGCATCCGTCTCCTACATACATGCATAAACTATGCCAATGTCTTCGTAATTTGTGTACTTTCCTGGGTTAAAAGTTATAAAATATAATTTCTGAATTTTAAAAACTCTAGTATTTGCTTTACTCAAAATGACATTGATTAATCTATTATTCCTCCCAACAGCCTTTCAGTCAGTGCAGAGTTGGTTCACCAGGTGCCAGGCTAATTACTGAGGCTCAGAACGAACTTTTTGTCAACTCGAATGTGGAAATAAAGAAGAGATCAACCTTCAAGTCTCTGTTCAGTTTTGCAGTCGGGGTAAGAACTGTTTTACCTTTGTGCATACTTTGAAGCTATTCATATTGATACTTCAGTTTTTACCTATCGTATCATCTTATCATTTCGCCATGCCTGATCCCGAAGGTGCGCCACTTGAGGGCGGAGTAAGCCATTGTCTTAAGACAAAGTGTCTTTGAGGTACATTTGAAATTCTAATTTTGTATAATGGCTTTTCTTGAGCTAAATCTTCCATAGGGTTTTTAAAGGCATCTCATCATGTATTCATACTCTGACCTTGATAATCCGTGTTAGACTCGCTGTCTCACTGTTCACTTTTTCACTTCCTGTATTTGCTGATTTCTTTTGATCAAGCAATATTACTTTACTTAATGTAATTTTTTTCTTCAGGGTGCTCGAGGCAGTGAAAACAACTACCACACCCCAGGCGTGCATACCCTGATTTCAGGCACACAAGACGACACTTGGGGACCTCTGATCTGTCTGCATGGACAACTGGAGTCGGTGTGTGTGTTCCAAGACATTCTTCAGCCCGATCAAGTCAAGACTCTCTCTGATATTGGTAAATGACTGTACACTTTGTATGCGTTCTTTTTGGTGTTGCTGGCTTTTCCATGTTGTTTAAATCTTACGGCACTGGGCTATTTTTAGCCCTCTCTCCCTCTGGCCCATGTAATACTGGAGTCCTTGACTCCCTCAGACCCAACCAATACTGAATGTTGTCTGTAATTTTGTATCATGGGCTAATATGTTTCTAATGCTGCAATCTGCAGGTCCCAACTCATTGTTTCACTTCAGTGATGATGCGATTATTGCTGACCTCAACTCAAAGCTGATTGCAAGATATAGTGGCAAGGTAAGATAGTGACATCTGCTTTGTTTTTACATGATTGGTAAGAGTAAATATAAACAAAATAACAATATTATATAGAAGTGCAGTTATTCAAAACACATAGAAAATAGTTTTTCTAAAGCTATTCAAAACTCAAAGAAAGTTGTTTTTCTTAAAAGAAAATTTCTAGCTAAAACTTTTGTGTAACTGTCTTCAAATAGAGGCAAAACTTCTGACCTTTTTCCAGGCGTGCAAAGGTCATGTGTGTGCAGATCTCTCTCCCTGTCAGAACCATGGGATGTTCTCTGGTAACAGCTGCTACAACTGGGACATTAAGGTAGGCGTAGTCTGATGATTGCTGCTCTAGGAAAGCTCTTGTTGTGGATCATCATCATCATCTTCATCATCATCATCATCATCATTGCCTTTCTCACCTTGATTCAAAATATGGGCCACAAACAAACATTTTCCACTTATCCCTACTCTGGGCTAGTCTCTTGATATTATTTCATGTCTTCCTACTTTTGTTTATTGTGGATTCCTATCTGAAATATTATAGACTTACATCCTCATGTTCACTGTTGTGTTGTGATGTATGCGATGCCACAAGTGAGCTGTCGTCACAGGTTCCCAAAATCATTGATATTATGACTTTTGCAAACGTCTACTGCTTTTGAGGCTTCTATGATCGTTTTAGAGCATTATCCTGTTGAGATGAAAAATGAAGAATCATTTTTTTTTTGGGGGGGGGGGAGGGGGGGGGGAATGATGGAATTAAGGGTACCTACTTTGCTTTCAAAAAGATGACCATTTGCGAGCTTACCTTGATATTGACTTCTGCAGCTCGGAAGGAGCTTTTTGTGTCACCATACGTATATGCGCAGGCTTTTTTCCGTAACATTAAAAGTAAAAAATTCAGGAATATCTCTGTAATGTGATACAGATGAGTCAGAGATTTGAGCTCTTGAATCCACCTTTTTTTGCTTATGTAATGTCAGCAAGGGAAAATCTACATTTCTACATTTAAAAAAACTCTTTCACCCTTTCACTGCCAGAGCTGCTTTATAATTACCAAAGAGCTAAAAAAAAAACCATTCTCCACTCAGGCATTGAGAGGGTTAATAGACTAGATTTTTAACCTTCCCAGAGCATTATTGACAGGTCTTTTCATCATAGATGTGTACTGTATCAGTGGAGAAGTACAATTTAGTTTTTGAAATAGCTTACATTCTCCCGTCTCCTTGTGTTCAGGATGTGATCAATTGCCTGGGTGGCATTCAAGTACTGTTCCCTCTTTTGGAGAACTTGGACCAGTCCATACCTATCCTGCCAGGTGATGATGAGGAGAGTCCGGGTTCTCCTTTGAGAGAGGAGGCCGAAGAGCTGGACTTGGAGGACTGGGTTATTACCAACAACAGAACTTCTTCTGGTATTTAGTTTTCTTCTTAGCTGAATATTCCTTGCTGACATGATTTTGGGGCCTATTACATGTTTTAAATTTACCGTACTGCCGTCGTTCAATGTTTCATTCATGTCTTATCCGTTCACTTTGTGCTGGCATCTCTGTCCAGCATTTTGGTTCTATATTGAGGATATTTACAGGCACGACTATCTACATCAGTTTTTGTGGTAATCTGGGATATTTCCAGGGCAGGAGAAACAGTAAGGTTCATTGTTAGTTTACATGTTACTAATTTATTACCATTTTAATAATAACAGAAAATAGTTAATAGCATTACTATAGCATAAATTTCGAGCTGGAAAAGCTCTCTGCACTTTACGATCAATATTATTACTAGAGTTAAAAGGCCAAAATACTGACAAAATCTTTCACTGTCTATGGCTGGGTGCCCATTCACGTGAGAATGAAGTGAGGAAATTTTGTGTTAAGTGCCTTTACCAAAGACAAACCGTCCGGCCGAGCTGAGACTCGAACACCCAAACCCACAACTTCTATATAATGAGTCTAGTAATCTAACCACACGGTCACTACCTTGTGACCTGTTGTCTCTGCTACATGCATATTTGCTCTGTCAGCAAGTTCACTGAAGCTTCTTCTAACCCTTGTGAAATAATGCTCATTAAAGATTTTTTTTTCCAGATCGTCCTCCTCCTCCCTTAATTATTATTATTATTATTATTATTATTATTAATATTATTATCATTTTTATTATAATTACTATTATCATCGTTATAATAATTGTTTTTATTAATGCAATGTTTCCCTCCATGCTTTCTCTACAGAGCTGCGTTTGGAGTACAACCAGCTGGCTGCTTTCATCACCATGCTGCGTTACATGCTCAAAGAGAAGACTGTGAACAGAGACATCTTTGTGCGCACCCACTGTGCGGCCACCCTGGGCATACTCATGCAGAAGGTAATATAGCCGAACTTGCTCTAATTGCCAGCTTATCGTTGTTGCCGTCGTGTACAAACCCCCTAAGCGCTTCAGACAAAATTTCACTGGAGAAGCAAAAAACTGATTATTTCCTCTATTTCTTAAAACTTTAGAAAACTGTTCAACTTTTGCATTTTAAATTTGATTCTTCACCTTCTCACTTATTGTTTAGTTTTTAGTTTAGTATGGGGTTTTACGGTGCTCGCAACTGCCAAGGTCATATGAGCGCGCTCACATAGAAAAATGAATAATTGCAAAGAAAAAGGACTTGCGAGGTTTCTGCTCGAGTTTGTCGTCGTGCACAGACCCAGTTTGCGCCAAGCATGTCGCATACGAGGTCCGTGCACGACAGGTCTGAATTGGTTGTTATCAGCTGATGTCGCTTTGGTGGTCTTGTCCGTGAGTGAATCTTTGATGACAGCTTGTGTGTGTGTGTGTGTGTGTGTGTGTGTGTGTGTTGTATGTATGTGGGTTTCTCTCTTTCTCTCTTTCTCTCTCTATCTCTATCTGTTTGACAAACACACACACACACACACACACACACACACACACACACACACACACACACACACACACACACACACACACACAAACCCGATGGCTGGAGCTGGAACGCGTTACGTTTACATCAAAACAGATGACTCAAAACGGAATTCCTAACAGTATTTTCCTCCTGCTCTTTAAGTCTCTTTTCTTCTCTTCCTCCCTTTCTTTGTCTTTCATTCTTCTCTCTTGTTCACATCATTCTCTTTCTCCTCTCATATATTTCCTACATATGCTCGCTCGCGAACACACAC